AAGGAAGCAAAGGATCAATCAATAGGAATTTCGGTTATGTAAATGATGAGAGCCGTGGCCCAGAACCAGAACTCCATATTTTCATATCCAGCTTCCATCTAGAGGCGTTCGAGGCGGCCTGTCAGTGAGTTATTGAAACATTGAGCCGCAGCCAGTGACTTGGACGGAGGTTCGCTCCTCGGAAGGAAGAAAGACGACTGCATTTATAATTATGAGAAAAAATGCGTTGGCCGAGGGCATCGTCGTCACATCTGCACCCATTAGAGGAGACACGAGAGAAGGCTGGCAAAATGTTCTCGGTTCTCGTTTCCATTTTCGATCATGAACGAGAAAAATAATGAAAATAAATAATATCCGCTGACTGGCATTGATATGCAAATGATCCACATCGAACCGCACCACACGGAAGTGTATTGAAATCAACAAAAAAATCCACACAACTCCGGAGGAAAAGGTTTCAAGATCGCATCAGCATCAGCATCAACCCCCGAAAGGAGTCGCTCAACCTTCAAGATTATGATTATGCAAATCGTCCAAAGAGCAGGCTGCACGATCAACGCTTCCTCATCATCAACCAAGGGAGGGTTCGAGCGGTGTTTTTTAGGTGAAGGCCAAAAGGGATTTCGGTATTTGGCAAATTTGCCAAAATCAAATTGATTGTTCGCCTTTGTGCGATTTGCGACAATTTCGAGTGGCATTTTGTGGTAATTGATACGAGTTCGCATCCATAACCGAATCCCTATCGATTCGCTTAAACCTTTTCTGTGTGTGCTAAAATTTGCCAGGCCAAAGAATGGAAAGTTGGCAAAACAGTGCTGCAAATTTCCCCCGAATCCTAATCGAAAGGGTGAAAGTGAAAGTAACCCTTCTCCCAGCGAACGGCAGCGACAGCGACAGCGGCATTTGGCTTGTAATGAGATCAACTTTGCATCGTTTAACAGTTGTTTCGCGGGGCATTGTCATTGTCTGAAAGTGATATGATTTTCCCAATATGTGGCGCAATAAATTCGAAAGGGGATTGCATGCGAATAAATCTGGGTTCGTCAATGACTTTTGGTTTACATGAATGCTTCGTTTAACATTCGAGGGGTTTTTTTCGTAATTAGAATTTGTCTAAGGGATACAAATGATTTCTTTCTGATTTCGAAATTAGCTTTGATTTCTGTAGCTCTGTCATTAATCGTTCTAAGAGATCCCTGAACTATATCTGAAGATGATATCTGAATCGCTTCCACTCTTAGCTCCATCTCTATATATGCATGTATATACCTTCCCCTGATTCCCTCACTTCTTAGAGCCTCTTTTTGTGGCTTTCAAAGAAACTCCCAAACATCTAAAGCTGTTCCGTTCGTATCTCCAAAACATGTGTAAAAAGTACTATGGATGGTTCTGCCTTTTCAGATTATCTTTAGCTTATTTCCATGTTATCTGAACCTTCATCTCGCATCATATCAAGTCTCCTATCATATCTGCTGATCCTCCCAGCCCAACTTTTATGGCTGCTCTACTTCCACGTCCATCTCCGCTCTGCCATCCATAATCATTCGCATTCCCATTCCCAGCCCAGATCCAGATCCCGGCACAGATCAAGATCAGCTGTCGATGGCTTTCGTAGTTCCGCTCCCAATCCCAATCCCGGACCCAGAACACCAACTCTCGAGTGGCAAGGCACAGGCACGCGCACTCTCTGTGGCAACGTGTGTGAATTTTTTGCCATTCAGTTTTATTGAGTGTATCTACAAGTAACCTTCCTCGCCTACCCCCCGCCCACCAATAAAAAGGGGGTTCACGTAAGCTCTTGTGGTCGCAAATGTTTGTCTATTGTTCTAGACTCCGACTCCGACTCCGACAACGATTCCGACTGCGACTCCGACTGTTGCACGAAAATTAATTTCCAACGGCAAGTGCAATGGGTCTAAAGGGTGTGTGGCGATAGAGGGGGGAGGCGACTGTGGCAGGGCTGTGGGGGTGTTGCAGATTTGCCAAGCGCTGATAAAAACCAGACGCCAAGGCTTGAAAAGGTCGTCGCCTGTGGTTGTTGCCCCTCTGCTGGTTGTTGTTGCTGCTATTTGCCATTGTTGGGGCACAACCGTTTTCGCGGGCCGCATAGCAAAATGCACCGTTATGCGAACAACGAACAACGAACGAAGAACGGCGGATGGAGGCGAAGTGCAAACTGTGTGCGCTGCATTTGGCCTGCGTACTCGTGTATCTATGAGATACAAATGTGCAAAAGGCAAGTTTACATATGCCGCATCTCACTGCCGCCTGCTGCATGCCGCCTGCTTGCCTGCTGCCTGTTGGCCAATGTTATTTAGTAGTTAATAATGAGCATGTTGCCGCTGTCGTTGTTGGTTTTTGCGCCCCCCTCTGCTACTCGCACTACCACTTACCCTCCTTACCACCCTCTCTCTACCACACTCTAACACTCTCTCTCTGGGGTAGGGTATGAGCGGGGTATCTGGGGATTATACAAGTGCCTGATGCACATAATAAGATCAATCTTAAGTGGGGAGAAGCGTTTAGCTATGCTCTAAAAAGGTTGTTTGGCCTGGTTGATCGAAATTAATGAATGTTTGGAGATAAAACAGATGCTATCGATAATCCCGACAGACTGTTGCTCTGCGTTTTGGTTTTCCATTTGATATTCACAGAAAATGGAAGTCTTTTCACCTTCCAAATCCCATCGACGGGTATATTCATTCGTAGGTCCAATGTCTCCTCACTTTCCTATCGCGAAAACCGCGGAGTGGTCTTAGTACCTCAGGAACATCTTTCGATGATCCAAATCCTAGGTGAATGTTTGTCAGATCTACTCAAACAACACTCTCGTTAAAAAACCATATATTTTAAAGAGATTTATGTAATTCTCCTCTGGCAATACAAAAAACTTCAGAGTATCCACCGAATGAGGCGCTCAAACGGAGCCTATTTCCACGCACTTGTTGCCCGGGTATCGGTGCGTGTATCTAGCCTGATTTACCTACCTCCCTGGTCTCCTCCTCCGCCATCCCCGTCCCCATGAAGAGAGCTATACTTATAGAAGGACAGACGTTGCCTGCTCCTGCATAATGGGATATCGCCTGCGTGTCTGCGTGCGTACGTGTGTGTATTGCACGAAACAGAACTCAAGGACATGCCGCTTCTCACGACGCGGTGCCCCGTGTATGGTTATGCAAATTTGGGGCAACAAACCGAATGAGATACAATAATAAAATGCATTTGGCGATGGGCCATTGTTCGCCAGATAGTTCCCACAGGCTAAGAAGGGATATATGAAATGTATTTGGATGGGAATTGGAGCTGACGGAGTTAGGAGAGTCAGAGGGGGAATCGGGGTCACCTACGCATTGATTGGCTCACGCACTTGTTGTTTCGGCCATTAATCAATATTACAAATTGTTTGTGCGTGTGTGTGTGTGTGTGTGCGGCTTGAAATTAAATGACTTTGGTTTTGGTTTTTATGCTAATGTCCCTGTTCCTGTTCCTGTCCCTCTCAAGAGCAGAGTTTTCGCCGGCTAAATGCCTGAAAATGCCAATAAATCACATACTCGTACGGGAAATGCAGGACAGGCCCAGGACGACTGGCAGTTGTGCGGTTTTCTGGTGGGCCGCCTCTTGTCTCTCCTGACTTTGGCTTCACTTCACTTGTCAGCGGCATCATTAATAATCCTTTACTTGTGCGCCATAGCCTACTTAGCAGCGTCTTTGCTTTCGCAAATCAAGGAACTGTGGACTATGGCTACGGTTCTACGAAGGAGCTTGGGTCTTTGGGACAGCCAAACAGACGAAGGTAAATGATGCAAATAAACAAATGTCATATGCGACTCGGAGGAAACCCTTTTTCGGCTGCTGCTGCTGTTGCTGCTGTCAACCTCAAAAATGTCATTAGGCAGGACGTGCTCTCCTTTCCACTTTCATTTCCACTTTTTCCTCCTGCCTTCACATATGCTCGATTCATGTAATTCGATTCGAAGAGAGACCCCAAAGACAGGGCCTCGCTCACATTCCTTGATTTGGAATTAATGCAAATTAATGATGCTCCTTGAAATCGTCCTTTGAGCGTGGTTGGGTTTCATGTGCAATGAAATGGTTTGTCTGGGACGCTTGCAAATATTTTTTTAATGATTTTCTTACTTTTTTAGTGCGGTTTATTTCTTGGCAAAACATTCGTGGGAACTCGTACGGAAAGAGAGAGGGATTGAAACATTCCTCTGATGACATCTGCCACATACATATACAAAGAAGTTGATGACTTAAATGGAATTACGAAACCTATTTGACCGAGGGGAGCTGCAGCATAACGCGCGATGAGTGTTAGCGTCGATCAGTTTGAGTTTGACACGACATCCTTTTGTCGCACAAGTATTCCCTATAGCTGTATCCGTATGCGTATATGTGTGGGGCAGAGAGTTTCCGAAAATGGTCCAGAATGGGGGATTGAAGGATGTGGAAGTTGGACAAAATTATAATTCTATATCAAAAACTCTTTTGTTAAGTGGAACTATTCGCGAGTGGAATGGGAAAACTATTTGGATCGCACTGGAGCGTCAATGGCTGTATGATGGGAAGATTTTCAGTCGCAACAACAACAAACTATGGATTGTTGTAGAAGGAAGACGCTGAACATAAATGTTAAAACGCCAACAATCTTTGGACCTATAGTTAGCCTCAAGTGTTGAAGTATTTTTTTGATTCTAGAGGGAAGCGGAACATTTTTGAAAGGTAATTCTGGGCTTATCAGACGAGCAAATGACGCACCATCGTTTCGACCTAGTCTTGATTGATAGGACTAATTTCGAAAAAGCTACTAGGAATTCTGTAAATAGTGGCACTTGGCAGGCCATGCTATGCCGAACTCAGCTTTCAGTAATTTCCCCTGAACTTCCAACAGAGTTTTTGTCATTATAAATTTTGTTCATGTGCCGAATACACGTCTTGATTTTCAATAATTTGTTTAAAATTTCAAGTTTTTCATACTGCTGTGTCGATATTAAATTTAGAATTAAGTTTACTAGGGAATATAAACGCGCCGAGAGAAATGCCACCATTTATACGCGACGACGTGCCATTCGTCTGGTGCCAGGAGGAGCAGAACCAGGAGCAGAACCAGGACAATAACCTGAACGCAGAACCAATCCAAGAGGACAATGAATTGTCCAGTGATGATCAAGCACTGGACGTGGCACTGTTACAAGTCAGAGCCGCTGTGGAGCGAAATGCTGTAGAGGCAGATCGTGCCGGAATAAATGTTGTGACCTTCCATCAGCGCAATGCCGTTTATTCGAACCTCCTTTTCGAGTTTGTAACTGCCGTCGACAGGAAGATAGCTCTCAACCGGGAGCCAGCCACCGCGGAGACTGCCATAGAGCACAGCGCCCTCACCGCGCAGATCAATCGACTGGTGCGGGAGGTCTGCGAATTTAACATCAGCTACAATTAATATTTTGGAAATACCATTTCGGCCTCCTCATTAATAAGTGGACCTAATTTTTGCGCTCGATGGGGCTTATCCGATTGGACGTGACATCGCAGAGACATACTCGTAAGTACAACGATATTCTTTGGGTACACTTTCACATTTATGTACTCTTAGGTAAAACGTTACTGATTACGAGTATTCTTCAATGTCTCGATGCAGTTAATATTCCCTATAGCTCTGTAAATCATCGTAGAATACAAGGTCCACAAGTAAGAACGGTTCGTGCTCCGAGGCACTGTACGATGTGCTTGGTCTTTCTCTTGGCAATATTGAGGTCACGACACTCGTTAGTATTATCGTATCTCTTTATTCATCAATACCCTCAAACGATTGCCATCTTCCGAACAGACAGCCCGAAGTCGAATCACTCAGCTCCAATATGTAGAAAAACGGATCTCACCTAATCCCATACCACTCCCAATCCACTGGCAAGGGGCACTTTAGAGAGATGGAAACCGAACAATCAAATCTAAATTATTATATAAGCCATAAATGGGAAGTGAAAAAAAAACAAAAGCAATACCAAATGCTAGATGTGCGAACGTATCAAAGTCTAAGCGGGGCAATTTATAGTTTCGACTCATACTCCTCTCCATAATCATAATGAAGGTGGGCTGAAAAATGGGCAAAATGTGTATCTGGGAAGCTGAAACGATTTCAAGAAGCCCCATTAACCTCAATTAGTGACTTTGGATTTGAACGAGATGCAAAACAATGGCAAACCGAAAACTGAAAACTGAAACTGGAGCTCGCTGAAAGTGAAACAGAAACAGAAACAGAAATTATACGAACAAACACAAAACTCGAACTGAAACTGCTAATTAAAATAATGTCAATAAAATTGTTGTCCATTATATGGCAGCCGAAAATTGCATCTGAGGCCCCAGACAAGCGATTGCCAAACGGCGCGCTGAGAGGGCCAAAAGTTGAAAGAAACTGAACAAAAAATAATCACAACCTGGCAATAAAACTCAAAAACTCGAACTCAAAGTACAAAGCCAGCCATAAACGAAAAGCGAAATACGAAATACGAAAAATGGAAACAATAAGTAAAGGAGTTAACGTATAAGTACACCTATGTGGGAATGGTACAAGTATAGGTATAGGTATAGGTATAGTAGGTACAGTGCGTTTCACAACGCACAATGTATGACAGTGTTAAATAGGAGTTGAAGGTTATTTCTATATCAAATAGTGAATTGCAAAAGACACTTTTTTATCAACAAATGATCTCCAAATGATTGGTTATATGTAGCTATCAAATTCTGCTAACGATTTTGTGTTCAAAAGTCCTCGAATTAGGTAATTTATCGCTTTATAAGCGGCACGGGCCATCTGATCGATCTTTAATCGAATAAAATTTTTTAAAATATGGAATTTTTAATGATCAAACGATGGCTTATCTAGGTGCTACAATTGAAATGTATCCTTTGATAAATATTTCGGATCCACGCAACGAATTATTTATCGAAGGAAGCTATAGAACCAAGTCATTTATCTCTGAAACGCACTGTCGACAGTCACTCACATATGTATATCTATAATTTGAAACGTATATGTATATGTATGTATGTATAAACTGAACAATCGAACAAGAAAATATTCCCACAAATTTCGTAAGCTCAAGTCTGCAATTGCTGGCGGGTCTGCTGCTGCTGCTGCTGGCGCTGGCAGAGCCAGGCTAATTATTAGTTAACTTGTATCTTTAAGATACGAGAGTCAGGTCGCAGCATTGCTTAATAGACCAGAACACACTATAGTCTGCCTCCAGTCTCCGTCTCCCTCCGTCTTTCAAGCCCATCTCCATCTCCATCGCCCAGTGTTGTCCATTGTCATAACACGTTTCCGTGCAGTTGTCGCTTAGAGTTTTGTTGTATCTCATGGATGCACACAAGCACACGCAGACAGACAGAGGCAAACACACACAGATACTCTGTACTCAGACAGAGCTAGTCAGAGAGTTTGCCAGTCCATCTAATAGTACAATTCATTGGCTTTCCCAGCGTTGTCAAATGCATGATTTTCTCATGTATCTATTAGATACGTTTGTATCTTTTTTGGCGTACTGCCCCAGCCGCAGCAGCAGCTCCCCAGCAGCAGCGTGTCAATGCGTAGCAAACGACACAGTTTACTCCGAGCCCCGACCACGCCTACATTCGTACAAATTATATGGCTGCAGCAAGTAGTAGGTAATTTTCCTAGAAAGGAAATCTCTCTTTCTCTCTCTGAATCTGTGGGAAGCAGCTTGTATCTCATATCTCTAATGAGAGCAGGGCATGTGTTCGGTGGGGGGTGGGGGCGAACAGGTCAGAGGTGGGGTGCAAAGGCTGACAGCTTGCCGAAAAACAGAAAAAAGGCAACAAAACTTCAAACGATCATCACTCGAACAGTAGAAATTTGCATATTTTCAACTGATGCCAGGACGCAGATACAGATACACCAGCCACGCGCACAGTGGTTCAAGGGTCAGCGGAAAATGGGAGTGGAAAAACTTATATGAAAGAAGAAAGTAGTACACGAAAATATCTTGCCAAAAAGCTGCAGTGCCATCCGTTTAAAATACTAAAATAACACAAAGGAATATGTTAGGCAGTAGCTACAATTCTGTAACTTCCACTCATATCTGAGGGACACAATTGAGTCTGAAAATTATGAATAAAAAAAGCTCTTTGAAATTTTATAGACTGTTGTCCTAAATGTCAAACATCAACTAATCTACGAGTACTACTGCTGCAGCTGCAAAAATGAGTCTGAAAAACTATGGTTAACCTCTAATAAATATATGGAATGCTCATGAAAACTTTATATCAAATGGAGAAATGTAAAAGTTTTTTCTTAATTCAATCTCTGTATACATTCTAGTGGCACTACCATACATGACACGTGCATCCACTGTGCATGGAGTGGAGGGTTGAGAGGTTGTTGTTGTGCACTCATTAGGGAAAGGTCAGAAGTGGGTTGGAAAAATCAAACATTTGTGCAGTTGATGTTCCCGCAGGACGCGCTACTGTTATCTGTAATGCGTTATGAGTATTTTGTATTTGTATCTGTGTATCCCCGTGTATCTCTGTGTATCTGCCAATGGTAACTGTATCTCTGACGGTGTTTTGAGCCAGTGGCATATGCAAGAGTCATAAATCGTTCCTCTGGCTGCTGCTGCTGTTGCTGCTGCCGCATTCGACACCCGCTCTGATGATGAGCTATGCGTTTTCTATGCAAATCGCAGCAGAAGAGGCAGCAGAGGCGGCAGAAGCAGCTCCGCTTTCCGCCTTTAATTGAAATGCAAATGTAAATGCAGGGAGCGGGGCTATCCAGGAGATTGGCGACGTCTCTTGGCCAGGCCATTGTGATGGATCCGCGGTGGATCACGCTCTTTGAGATCCACAAAAACACGATCAAATGCGAGCGTAATCCAAAACCAAAGCGGCCCCATCCGCCAAGCGGATAGCTGACGTCGGTTCTATGCGCCTGCATCTGCATCTGCATCTGTATCTGTATCTGTATCTTTTGTTTGGCCAGATATCCAATAGCCACATCTATCCCCAGGTATCGGTGTCCATTAGACGTAATTAGAACGAAAAGCTCTCAAAAAAAAAAAGCAAAGGCAAAGATGGAGCAAAAATATTTGTGTGTTTGTGTGCAACTGAAATGCATCTGGCGGATTCCAATTAAAGACGGATCCATGGAACGGCAACGGCAACGGCAAAGGCAAAGGCAACGGCGCTTACCCAGGCGTTGAAGGATGATGTTTACCAAAGCGAAATGCGATCTATATCTTATATCTTGGCCGCGTGATCGTGGCCCCCGATGATCGCGACGTTGCCAATTTTCATTGTAATCGAAACTTGAGGCAGCTGCTGCTGTCACCCTAGACTCAACGATATTTACCACCCCGTTCAGCGTCTTCGTTCGCCCTTCGATGATTATAATAATTTGGACGCGAAGAAACACAGCCATAAGAAAGGAAAAATTGTTGCCTTCGCCTACTTAGGAAGTGGGACGGGCAGCCAGTTCCTCTCTCCCTCTCCGTCTCCCTCTCCATCTCCCTCTCACTCTTACTCTCCTTTCTCCTCCTCCTCCTGCAATATGCAAATTAGCACGAGCCCCGGTGCACACACACACACACCCGGCCCTCGGCCTCGGATCGGAGCGAACCCCCCTCGAACGAACATCACCTTGAGTCGTGTCGCATCGCATCGAATCGAATCGAAAAGATCCCTCAAGATCCCTCTCAAGTCCTCAGAAGCGAAGGTGAGTCCGAGTAATGAGCAAAGGTGTTTAATTGTCGAAGGACCCATTGAGGGAATGGAATGGAATTGTTCCGCTCGCGGAGCAGCTGGAGAGCGATACACACATAGGCAGCAAGTGGGCAGTGCCACGCAGGGAGTCCATCAACCCTCCTCGAACTTCATTTCCATCGCCGTTAATATCAATCGAAATGGGTTGAAAGGACTCTCGAGGCATCGGACATATAAAATGCTAAGAAAACAGTATCCTTTTGCTCAAAACTTTGTCTGTTAAGATCAGTAGATATGATGATCTGGCACTAAAGGGATCTGCATAATATTTGACCATAAATTTGTATCTATGTATCCCTTGACTTCTAGCACGCAAAAACCCTAAAGAAACAGTATTATTTTCCAGTATTTCCAAATAATATCCATCTGGAGTCCAGTATGGAAACATTATATGGACCACAGTGCGAAATCGAAGTACGGAAACACCTTATGGACTCATGGAATACAAATTAAAATAAAATGCTCACAACATAACGATTTTTAACAATTTTCAAAAATGTTCCAAGAAAATCTCGATTAGTACTAACTATACACTCAACAATATTTCAACATATTTCCAGAAATCTTTTACTTATGTTATATGCTGAATTACATCTAAATTTCACATACAATACTTCTAAAAAATTCTAAACAAATCTATTCTAATATTCTAATAATAATTAATTTATAAACACGTACATATGTTAAAGAATGTTCGATATGATATAGAAAGCGTTTTTCTAAAAAATCCCTTTTAAATATTACAAATTGAATCCAAAAATAATTCAAAAGCACTCAAATTTGTATCTTCTAAAAACATTGAAAACTGAATTGCAATGCCAAACCTACACAAAATCAATTTAGATCCACTTTGAATGGTTCACTTTTATTTTCCCCTCAATTTCCAAACATTTGCCAAGCCCCCTTTCCACACCTGTTGATATCGCACCACCCCCTGCACCCATACCCCAATTTTGCATTTCATTTGACCTGCGGCGATGTAAAACATTCTGTGGAATCATTTATCTATTACGCAATTACAACGTGCAACAATTGCCGCCTGTTGCTGCTTCTGCTTCTGCTGCTGCTGCTGATGCTATACCCCTCGCTACCACCGTGTGCCCCGTGTGTGGCACCACCACAAGGGTTAAGGTTGCGAAATTTTTGTGTAAAAATATACCCTTGCAATGGAATATTTATTGCGGGTATTGCGATTATCGAAAAGTGTTTGCCAGGCATAAACGGGTGACAAAGCATCATTAAAGGTCGGACTCCACCGTTTATGTATCCCATTTGTACTAAAATCGCATGAACATATCCTATGATTGGCATAAGAAGGGTATTAAGTGCTTCGGAGACTTGATTTCTGTGTGCTTCTATTTTGGCACGCACTTTTAGAACTCCCCTCATGCAACATGGTCTCCCACCCATATTACACTTTTCAGCCCGCCGCTCTGCAAGCCCTATCTACAGATGTCTGCCCACTCCTACACCCACTCTTCGTTACGTTTTCTAACACCACTGTCTTCCAAACCCCCTCTTCTTACGGCCCTTTGTAGGCTGTACTTCACCCCTCTCTGCAACA